GGAGAGTAAAGTGTAGCGGGTTAAACACATGGAGAAACCATGGAAACTCATGTAGCAATCAACATGGTTTACTGGCACACGACAAAGACAAACGGCCGGCTGGCCAACTATGTACATACCTGGGGACACACCCCTAGGTCCCGTTGGTGGGTTTAAATCTCCCGCCACGGTCCCATTGGTCCCCCAGTGGAGAGACCAGGAGCCTAGTCCCCATTGTTACTCCAGATTCAAGCTCTGGAGTGTTCGCTGACCTCTGGTGGTGGTCAGTGGACAGAACATCCCTCCCCCCATAGTTCGGACCCACCCTAGGTCACATAGTCCTTTAGGTATGATGGGGACCGCCGTACTCTCATTGACCGTCAAGCCAGTACGGGGCTCTCAGGGGTCCCGTTCCCTGTGCTGGGATGCGTGAGTGGTGCAGGCCCTTCTGGTTCCGAAGCGTCCATTGTCGGGGCCTCCTCGGCAGCCGCCGGGGGAATGGTGGCAAGGTTCGGATGCTCTTCAGTGGGGAGGTCCTGCGTGGGGGTGTCTGGTGGGCTCCTCACCTCTGGACCTGCCCACAGTCCATGGACACCTCATACATGACGGTTCCTGTGGGTTGGATGATGCGGCCAGCGATCCATTCCGGGCCTCTACCGAAGTTCCTGGCAAAGACCGGGTCCTCTGGAAAGAACCCACGAGGTGCTTCCCGCTGCTTGGGGGAGTTCCGTTGGTCGGGAGCTCGATCAGGGTGCAGGCGATCCAGTAGGATTGTTGGCTTCCGACCCATTAATAGTTCTGCTGGGCAGCGACCGCTTACCGGGTTTGGTGTTGTTCGCTGCGTCAAGAGGAAACGGGCGATGTGGCATTCCCAGTCGCCTTCCGTTAGGCAGCTTAATGCTTCCTTCGCTGTCCGGACCATGCGTTCCGCTTAGCCGTTGGTCGCGGGGTGGAAAGGTGCTGACCTGATGTGCCTTATCAGGTTGTTGCTGAGAAACTGTTGAAATTCCTCCGACGTGAACGCCGTCCCGTTGTCCGAGACGATGGTGTCTGGCAGGCTGTGGGTGGCGAAGATCTTCCGGAGGGTGCGGATGGTGGCCTTTGACGATGTTGCGGAGACGGGGCTTATCTCCAGCCACTTGGTGTAGGAATCCACCGTTACAAGGAATAACAGTCCATGGAATGGTCCAGTGAAGTCTATGTGGAGCCGGGACCACGGGGTTCGTGTGGATTCCCATGACTGAGACGGCACTCCCAGGGGGCTGGGTCAAACGGCTTGGCAGGTCGGGCAACGTTTCACCCACGCCTCTAACTCTGCGTCGATGCCTGGCCACTAGACATAGCTCCGAGCGAGGCCTTTCATCCGAATGATGCCCGGGTGTGCTTTGTGCAGGGCCTGGAGAACTTTCTGTGGAGGGTGCTGGGGATCACGACCCTGTCTCCCCACAGCAGGCAGCCTTTGTGGGTGGATAACTCCTCCCGGCGGGCCGTAAACGCCGTAAACTCGAGGCCTTCCGCCTTCGCAGGCCACCCCCTCACCACCCAGCCCAGAACCCGGGATATGACGGGGTCCTGGGCTGGGCGGGGGGCAATGTCCGCTGCCTGCAACGGAGCATCCGGCAGGCCCTCCAGCTGGAGGACCCGGTGTGCAGGGGCCGGATCCTCAACCACGTCTGGCAGGAGAAGTCGGCTAAGGGCGTCGGCGTGGCCCATGGCCTTCCCCGGGCGGTGTTGGAGCTGGTAGTCATAGCCCGCAAGGAAGATGGACCACCGCACCAGTGTGGCAGGGATTTGGCTACCATTGAGTAGGCTTTAAGGTGCCACAACATGATGTTTTGTTGTTCTGTGCTGAAATAAACTAAATAGCTAGGTTTTTGCAAATTGTCATTTTCCCTCTTCTCTTTTATTTCTTAAAGGAATAGAGATAAAACTTTTCCTGTGTTCAGACTTTTCATAGCAATCTCCATTGCCTGAACACAGCATAGATGTTTCATGTCTAAAATAGAGCATATAAAATTGACCAGAACTAGATTTCACACTAGCAGAAATTATTTTTTTAAGCAAACTTATAACAAACAAACAAAAAAATCACTTCAGCAACTGCTAGTAACTTGCAAAGCAAAACTGGATTTGTTGGCTTCTCACCACTCTCTCACTCTGTTTTCTCAAAAATATTTTTGGACTCTTTCATAAATGCTTGTCATACGTGAGTATGCGTTTCCCTTTACCTGAAATATTAATATGCCTAGTCCTCTGTACAGAGTATAGTGTTGGGGAAGAGGTTTGGAGGACAGCATGAGGTGTCGTGAATTTCTGAACAACCGTTGTAATTGTTAGATCGGGCTAACAAAGACTCGGAGAGTGGTTTCAGCTCAGTGATTCACCTTTATTGAAGTAGTGAACAAACACTCAAACGCATTCAAAACCAGAACGACTTAACATTAGGAGCTAGGCTCCTTTTAAACATTCCAGGGCTAACATAGCCACGCCTATTTACAATTACAACCAATAAGATTGTTCGGATAACGTCCAATGAGCATACTTCCCTCGCAGGGAATAGTGACAGTTCTGATTGGTCGCTGTTGCAGAGCAACCAATAGGAGTTCAGTCCAGAGGAGCCTTTGTTTGGCTCAAGCTTAACATAGGAGGTGAATTAGGTGATTCACATAATGCGTCCAATACATTACAGTAATTGTGCTTTCTGCCTAGCACTTGTTTGAAGAAGTCTTGGTGCTCTTAATTTAAAGGCACAGAGCAGCGTGAGCCGCGTTGGCAACCCTGCCCTGGGTCTCCGGAGAAGGCCATGCATCTTCCAGCCGGAGAGTGCTGGGCTTCCACGCCAGTCCCGCCACCGCCTGCCTGCAGCTCCTCCTGCTTCTGCCGCTCCTCGCTCAGGTCCTGCTTGCCGCCCTTGCCTGCCTGCCTCCGCTCAGCCTCCGACAGGAGGACTCGCTGGGTCCTAGCGCTCCCTGTTCTGCTGGGGCACCACCCCGTCCATCTATAGGGGGGGGTGGCTGGGGGATCGGGGCGCTGTGTCCAGAAGCTCCTCCCTGGGGTTGCCGAGCTCCCCCTCCCTTCCGGTTGAGAGCCACGGAAAGGGCAGCGGAGGCTGGCTGAGAGCAGTTCCCACTGCCACCAAGCGCGCCCCCTGCACCGCCGCCTTTGACTCCCCGGCCCTGCCACCGCCACAACCACATGCTGATCTGCAGCCGCCAGGAGGCGGGGAACCTTTCGCGCCCCCCCCCCACGCAGCTGCTGCTGTTGCTGTCGCTGCTGCTGGGGGCGGCCATAACTGTTTAAAGAGCCCCTCCCAAGAGCTGGGGGAGCCGGAATGACCTCTCGTGTCTGAAGGCCGCTCGGACATCAGACGCTTTTGCCCCTGGGAGTATAAAGCCACCACCCTCCCCCCCAAAAAAAAAAGTGCTGGGATAGTGCAAACAGAACATGCATTTCTTTGGACTCTTAACCCTTGGGAGGAGAACGAAATCTCCGACCTGGAGACAAAAAGACAAAGGAAAGGCAGGAAGCAGGTGGAGGGGAAAGTTGAAGAAGAAATAAGAGAAGGATCCATCCCCCAGCGGCTGCCTCCCGATCAACGGCTGATTTACGTGGCGAGAACAGGAGAATCCCCCCCTTGCACTTTCGCAAAACAAGAGAATCATCCCTCTGGGCAGGAGGGAAGATCTAATGAATCGGAGGCGAGAAAGCGATGGGCAGAGCGGCCCAAGAGAGAGAGAGAGAGAGAGAGAGAGAGAGAGAGAGAGAGAGAGAGATATGGAATATTTCCTCCCCCCACCACCTTTTTCATTCTGGGGTAAAGGGGGGGGGATGATGCCGTTTTAAAAACATTTTTAATTGGGGGAAATAGAAAGCAGATCTGATTTTTTTAAAAGAAAGGAAGAAAGGAAAGAAAAAGGGGAAGAATCCAGAGCTTGGAGGCTCTGTAATTATTGTGTCAATTTCAGGATGAAAATAACAAAAATCGACTGGGAGAGGGTCTCCAGCAGGAAAATTTACTTGGGGGAGGGGGAGAAAGCCCAGAGGCAATAATTGATCATATATATCTATTTATAGTGGGGAAGCCGAGTGCCAAGTTAAGATGAGTCATTTGCATCTTTTTTTTTGGTTTTTTTGGGTTTTTTTTTAAAGAAATGGTTCTAGGTTTCTCTATGATCTGGAATTGCCTTAAGCTTTGGAGGGCTTGCGGCTAGAGAGTCATGAAAAAGTCTCCCTTTCAAATGTTTCTAGAAATCAGGTGCCTCTAGAAATAAGGGGTACTTTGTGTGGTGTATTCAAGTTAATGAAAAACTGTGTTTGTACTCATTGAAACACCATGTAAAGCTACATCATAGGCAAGGATCCTAATCTTGCAATCTCTATTGGTAGCCCAGGCAGAGCCGACCAATCACCTACCATCCAGTTTCCTGAGCACCGTCTGTGATTGGATGTTATCTTGACAATCCTATTGGTTGTAATGTACAGTAAGGCGTGGCTACATTAGCCGGAGAGTTTAAAAGAAGCACAGCTACAATGCAAAAGCTGTTCTGGTTGTTCTGTTCTAGTTGTGTTATGTGTTGCTCAATAAAGCTGAATCACTTGTTGAAATCTGACTCTGACTCTTTGTTAAGTAGTCGACTCAATACTTTGGGCCACACAATATAAGACGTCTAGCTTCTCCTAAAATGCAATTACGTTTGAAAATTGGTGGGCGCAGGGTGCAAAAAACCCTGGAGCTGGTCCTGGTATTGTCATCAGATTTAATGTCCATAAGCTTTGCAGCAGGCTTGTGATCGTGATCCTGTCCGGGGAAAGTATCCTTTTTTGATTACGCCTATTCCATGAAACATAAGGAAACGGCAGAAACTGCCACACTAAGGTACACGCTCAACACATCTTTGGGGAAGGCTAGTAATACTTAGGCCACCCAAACTTGGTAAAGGCCGTCTCGCCAGCCGCGGAACTAAAGTGGCCGGAACTGAAGAGAAGTGGTGCCAGTTTCCCGACGGAGTGAAATTGGCTCATGCGCCCGGCCCTCCTTCCTGCCTGGCTGTTTCGACGTAATGGCGTCCGCGCTGCTGCAACCTTTGTTCGTCCACGCTTCCCGCCGCTTTCTGGCTGTCACTCCTAGATGCGCCGCGCTTCGCCTTCAGCCGCGCCGAGATAACAAGCGCTGGGTCCAAGCTTACGTGGAGCAGCAGCGGTTCCTGGAGCCCCCGATGCACCGGTGAGGGTCTCGCTGGCTGGCTGTTCTTTGGCCTCCATCGCCAGGCAGCGCGCCGAACGCCTCCCTGGGGCTCGCGGGAAGGCACCTGTCGCGGCGGCCTGACGGCGTTTCAGGACCGGGGCTTCACTGACGGGGGAGGGAAGCCGGCGGGTTGTGGCGCTGCAGGCACTTCCGCCTCTGAAGAAAAGCAGTCTGTCTGCTTTTCTCGCGCGGAGCGACTTCTGGTTGCTCAGAGAGGGCCTCTGGTTTTGCTGACCACCCAGTAGGAACCCGGAGGGGGAGCTGGCTTTTGCGGCGGAATCTCTGAAGAAGGATATGCCGACAGTGTGGGATAATGATTGGCGTGTTCTGTTGTGATCTGGGAAACCCTGGTTAAAATCCCCCCTCTGCCACAAAAGTTTACTGGGTGATCTTGGACCAGTCAGATGCTCTCGGCTAAACCGTCCTCATAGGGTGGTGGCTGCCACAGGGTAAAATAGAAGAGGGGAAAATGGCTTAGATTGCCCTAAACTGCTGGGAGGAAGAGTGACATAAACATGTGTTAAATTAAATAAATTCCTGAGTGACCTAAAAAGAGTTGACAGTTTATAATCTGCGGAGAGAGAATGTCTGTACAGGGGTGTGCAAAAAAATTGTATTGGTAATTTTTTGCTTCTGGTCTGTTGAACCCCCCCCCCCCCCCCCAAAATCCTGAATCCCAATACCGGTTATGGTATTTGGATCTGGGATTTTCCAGAAATCCCCTACATTTCCAGGTCTGTGGGGTTTTTTTTAAGCCAGTGCAAAGCTGAGCTGGTGGGGAACAATCTGCTCCCTGTGGGCACGGCCAGTCCTGGCTGGGCTCACTTCTCCTGCAGTCCGGTTTAAACCAGGCTGCAGGAGAAGCGAGCCCCAGGACCTGCTGTGCTGCCGGGAGCAATGTGCTCTCTATGGCACAGGAGATGCTGGCTGGACTTGCTTCTCCTGCAGTCTGGTTTAAACCACCGGGCTGCAGGAGAAGTGAGCCCCAGGAGTTGCTGTGCCACACGGAGCACATTGCTCCACACAGCACAGAAGATCCTGGCTGGGCTCACATCTCCTGCAGTCCGGGTTAAAACTGGCTGCAGGAGAAGCCAGAGCCTGCAGGAAGCAATCTCTTTCCAGATCCTGGCCTCTTCTGCAGCCTGGTTTAAACTGGTCTGCAGGAGAAGCCAGCCCCTCAAGCTGAGCTGGCAGGAACAGTTTTCTCCCCACCAGCACAGCTGATTTTTGGGCCATCTGTTCTGCCTCTCTACTGTTTTCAAATCTGCCCAGTAATTTCCATTTATATCCAGGGTTTTGGGGTGCCTTTCCCCCCCTAGTTTTCCCGAGAAAACCCAGATACATTTGGGATGCTGAAACCTACCCCAAAAATACTAGTAAGGTATTTTTGGGTTAGATTTTTGTCTCTGGTAGACCTGAATGGAGTTGTGTCTAGCTGGCCCTGTATTATTTGCATTTTGGTGGCATCTACAAAGATAGTTTCTGTATAAGTGATCAGGAGTCTGTATTTGCAAGAGTTCCCAATCAGATGGACACAAGGCTCTTGTTTGTAAATTATACAAAATGTGTGTGGGGTTGGGGCCAGTAGATGCAATTCTGCTTCTTGCTGCACATGCTCAGCTTGTAACAGTCCCCATATGTATTGTAAATGGGGGCTAAGGTATGAGAGAGATGAAACAAATGTAGTTGCCATTCCATAATCTTCCTGATGAACTCTGTGAAGCTTTTGCACATTCACTTATTTGCATGTGGGAAACAGCATAAAATCCATGTAAAAAAAGTTGTGATAGACTGAATTTAGCCTGTGATTATTTCCTAAACAGGATAGTCTTCCATATACAGTATATATTAAGCAGTATTGTTTGGACAAGTTCCTTAGACTGACACTTTGTAACCAGAAGAATGTAAAATATCAAAGAAATGCATACAATCCTTAGTGTGTTTTCTTGGATGTTATCCCCAGTAAGTTTAATAGGGCTTAATTCCCGGTAACTGTTTAGCATTCCTCTGAAATACTGTTTGTTGTTGTTCATAACACATTGTAAACTTTGCATTCTATATTTGGGGTTTCTTAAGAGAGATAGAAACTGGGTGTGGGAATGGAATACATTTTAAAATCTAGTACAGTACAGTATCTTTTTCTCTGGTACAGACTGTCCCAAAGTCTGTTAAACTCTGTTTTGTGGAATCAGTGATTTTGTTCCTAATTATTTTCTGTTTTTCATTATGCAGTTCTGAAAAACTTAATTGGGATTACCATGCAGAAATACAAGCATTTAGTCATCGATTGCATGAGAAGTTTTCCTTGGATCTCCTCAAAACTGCCTTCATCAATCGTTGTTACATTAAAAATGAAGAAGCCAGACGCAGAAGGCTGGGACTGGAAAAAGAAGAAATTGCTCTTAATCTCAAGGACAATCAGCAACTTTCTGAGCAGGGAGCCTCTTTTTCGCGCTCGTACCTCACAGAATGCCTTGAAAAGGCCTTTCCAAAAATTCCACCTGCTGGCATTGAGGCTATTGTTAACTTCCTCACTAGTGAAGAATTAGTATCATATGTGGCCAAAAACTTATCTTTACACGATTTGACACTTTGCGCAGAATTTCCTGTGTCATCTAATGTACTTCAACGAACTTTCTTTGCTGTAATAGGAGCATTGCTTCAAAGCAGCGGCCCTCAGAGAACGGAGATATTTGTAAGGGTAAGTTACTGTGCAATATAACATTGCTATGTATGGCAGAATGAATTGTTCTTTGGCACCCATCCAAGGCTCCCTGTCATAACGCACAAGGAATAATGAATTGCATTTTGTTACTTAAAAGCCAGCAGAGTATAATTGCCTACAACCCTCCTCTTTAATTATATAGCTTTTACTCTATGAAACATTTGTGGATAATTAAAGAAGAAACTAAACATCCTGGATGCAGGACTGTTTACAAGCTGTGCCAGTGGAAAGGATAGGTGCTCCAAGAAAATGCAAAGTTTCAGATATTGTTATGGAGTCTGAATTTGGTGATGTTTGCTCTATCACCATCTAACTTCCCTGGTTGGCCTTCCATTAGCTCAGTGTTTGCACACATGTCACTCGAATTATTCCAGTTTTTACACATGTAATGTGCAAAATTAAGTGCCCAGACATTTGGAAGAGGCAAATACTTATGCATGAGAATATGAGCATTTGGAAACTATGTTATTTATAGTCTCCCTTTCTCACTGGGACTCAAGGGCTGTTGTTGTGAAATTCTAACACATCCAGCTGTGCCAGTGATGTGTTACTTGTCATATTTTCTTGTGTGCTGTCTTAGAATAATTTTATTGGGGGCTGCCAAATGCTCTTGACTGGGGCAAGAAATGATGCTCTTTGGCCTAATTTGATGACATGTCCAATCAAAAACCTGTGGCAATGTCACTGTTGTGTTCAAAAATATCTAATTTTTTTCATCCCCTTATAGAGGGCTGTGACGACCCCTTATCTGGGGAGGTCTGGTTTCCCATTAAAATGTTCTTTATGTTTTGTTTTACTGTGTATATCCGGCTGCCACCAGGAAATTTAAGGCTTTCCAAACCTTTATACTATAATATTTCTATCACTGGGTAGGTAGGTCGGTTTTTAGGCTTTCATGAGGGTCTATGTGTTTCCTGGGAAGTATTTCTTTCAGAACTGGTATCTTAAATAAATTGATATAATTCGTAAATAATATGGTAATATGGTAGAACACTGTAACTAGGAATGGGTAAATACTAAACAATTGCTTTGGTATTTCACACACTTTTCCCTTCACTGTCAGGGATCTTGGCATGTAACTTTGTAACTTTAACTCAAGGTCATGTAAGTTCACTGTTTCTCTCGAGGACATACAGCCTTTCCTAAACTTTGTCTTCAATTACTTTCATTTACATTTTATTATTCTCTCAGAACAACCTCAGCTGTTCACACACACAAACTGCTTCTCTCTCAGATTTCAGAACGAACTCTTCTAAACACCCCTGTCTTCAGAAACTGTCACTCTTCAACTGTCACCCTTCAGCTGTCAAAACCTCAAACTGTCACTTCTGATAGACATACATATTCATCCACACAGCATCACTTCCAAAACCCCTCCCCCTCTCTGTCACTCACCAATCACACCACACTTGTCTCTTCAAGCACTCTAGACTATCACATGCAACCAAACTTTTTAAAAGACACACACCCATAAACAAGGAATCGTTACAAGGGCAATACCGCATGAATGGTATAATGTGGAGACTCTTGTGTGCTTGATAGCATTATCAGCATAAAGGTGTCCAAAATGTGCATACCCTGGTCTTGGAGTACATATAGCAACTTGTAATGCCTGCTTTTGAAAACAAATGTGAGCATTGGAACTTCTAGTTGTTCTCTAGTTTATATATACAGTATGAGCAAGAGAGCCCCTTTCCCTTCTTTCTTCTTTGCAGGTGAGTTGGTTGCATCCAGCCAACAGATAGGTGAGCAGATGAGCAATTCTCTCCCAGCCTTTCAATGCTTTTCTGACTACATGCAAGATGTACCTTAGGAAGTATAAGTCACCAGGTTGCCTGGTTATCAGTCACCCTGGAAAGAGCATCTGGAGAAGCTCCACCTCTTCGGAAAAATTATTTTTTGAGTTTTAGTAATGCTCATAATTTTGGGATCCTTTCCAGTTCAAACGGGGGGGGGGGGTTGTTGTCAGTAACAGGGTCCCTATCATTGGTTATCAGCAGGCATTCCAGTGTACACACCTGCTGGTAAACTGGGATCAGTGCCCTTCTTGACAGAGCTTTCCTTGTCCTTAAGCTGGAGCAATTTCAGGGCTATTTACACCCTATAGCAGAAACTCATTAGGATTGGCTACATTAGTTGGGAGAGTGGAGGGGGGAAAAATATCTCTAGAATGTATAAAGTGTTACTAAAATGGTATACTGAAGATGAGACTGTAAAAGGGCAAATGATAAAATGGGTGATAAATATGAATACGGAAGTGTCTATTGAAACCTGGGAATATTTGTGGAAAAATTCTATTAAGATATCGCCTTGTACCAATGTTAGAGAGAATTGTTATAAAATGATGTATAGGTGGTACATGACTCCGAAAAAAATTGCAAATATGAACCAGAATATGTCAAATAAGTGTTGGAAATGCAAGAGCCATGAAGGCTCATTTTATCATATGTGGTGGACTTGTGAGAAAGCAGTTGACTTTTGGACAAAAGTCCACAAGGAAATGCAAAAAATTCTGAAATGCTCTTTCAAAAAGGCACCGGAAATTCTGCTTTTGGGATTGAAAATGGAAGAAGTCAATACAACTAAAAAGACTTTATTCTGGTACTTAATCACAACAGCGAGAATGATTTATGCACAATTTTGGAAAACAGAGAAAGTGCCAGAAATTGAAGACTGGATACAAAAAGTTCTGTTCATGGCAGAGATGGACAAAATTACGAAGAAGTTGAATAATAAAGAAGACGACGTGTTTTTTCAAGAATGGAGTGACTTTAAAACATATCTGGAAAAGAACTGGGATGTGAAACAAAACTTAATATGTTTAGATCAATATTAAGTCAAATGATGTTATCTTTAGATTGTAATGATAAGAAAGTGATATAGTTGATGATATGAAGTAATTTGGAGCGGGGGGGGAAGCATTGCGGGAAGCCACCGGAGGGAGGGGAGGAATTGGGAATGGGGTAGACAATTGATAGAATGAAATGATTTAATTTCACATGTTGTATTCCTGAGAAAATAAAATTTGTTTACCAAAAAAAAAGGATTGGCTACATTAGGGGTTTGTGGCCTAACATGCAAAGGAGTGCCTGCTACAAAAAATGCCCTGGGTTTTGACAACAAACAAGGTAAACAGAATAAGAAGGGAAAGGTGGGTGTGGCTGGATGACCACACTTCTGGTAACATGGGGGTGCGGCCTAATGTGCTAATGAGCGGTACTGTCAGGGTGTGGCCTAATACCTAATAAGTTTTGCTGTTGGGTGTGGCCTATTATGCTAATGAGTTCCTGCTGGGCTTTTTCTACAAAAAGAGCCGAGCAATATAATTTACAGGTAAACTGATGTGCTCACCCCACACACACACATTAACATGCAGATGGTTTCTTTCTACTAATATGTTAATGAATATGCCCTATGGTATGTGGTGGCCGAGAGGTACGTTGATTTGTGGTAGGTAACAGTTAAGTTTCTTGGAAAAATTATGTAAACCAGGATTCCCTGACTTTAAGGAAATGTGGCCTCTGTTGAACGGCTTCAGAGAAATACTGTCCTAAGGGTTAGAAACTCTAACTAACAAGCTTTGGCCTTTTGAACAATGAACAGGACACAATGTATAAGTTTCTTTGTAATTATAATTGTTAAATATGTAGCACACCACATACCAACACTTCATATTTCTATTTGCTGTTCTATCTTTAATTTCTGTATATATCAGGAATCAAAACTTATGGCCCCTGTTACTTTCCCCCCTTTTATGTTCAGGACTTCTTCATTCCTCAGCTGATAGGAAAAGAGCTGTTTGAACTTTGGAATATAGTAAACCCCATGGGCTTGCTGGTGGAAGAACTGGCCAAGAGGAATATATCTGCTCCAGAGCCAAGGCTAACAAGACAGTCGGGAGCTAGCACTGCCTTGCCGTTGTACTTTGTTGGATTGTACTGGTTAGTAGGACTCCTGTCCACTTTAGCTTTATCTGTTAAGTGTTTACATCCTACCTTTCTTCCATTATGGAACTGAAGTAGGCTTATGTAGAATAACTCCTTGCAAAGCTACCTACCAGAATCATTATCAGCTTCATTTCAACAGTGTTACAGTAACATGTGCCTGTGTGCCTATCAGCTGGGGCCAGCTCCAGGTTTTGTGGGACTTGGGCAAGAGGATATAACTGCCTGATTAGCTTTTAATACTCCTTCTTCCTCCTCTAGCCACTCCTCTTCCCTACAGTTGCCCCACTCTTCCTCTTTATTTATTTATTTTGGAGATTTCTGTGCCCCTCTTGAGTCCTGCTCAAGGCAGCTTACAATTAAAATAATAAATTATCAGTATAAAAATACAAGCTCTCCCATTTGACCTCTCCTCTTTGGTCCCACCCTTCTTCCTTTAACCACACCTTGGAGTCACCCTCCTCTTTCCTCCTTGCAGCTGGCTGCTGCCTCCTGCCATCCTGCTTTAGTTGCAAGTTGGGTGGAGAAGGTCAGCAGGAGGGAGTGATTCCCCCCACCTCCCTTCAGTAGTGCAGCTGGAGAGTGGTGATGCACTCTGGTAGCCATGGTAGTCAAACCCTTGTCTGACTTCTCTGGCTTAAGGCAGCCTGTACCTTTGGTATTCTTTGATCTGAAATGTAGTTTGTAAATTCAAATGTAATTACAGTTTAGACATTGTAATTCAAAAACTAGTCCTTACCATGATAACCTCTTAAACCTGATAAGAGTGTGTGGGGAGGGGATCTCTTTTAATTTACATAACCCAGCCTTTCTACTCATCCCAGTCTAGCCTTGTTCCTTCATTGCCATTACTTCCCCTTACACCATCACCACTGTTCATTGCCAGTCCCTGACCTTTTCCTTGTCCTTCTCCTTGACTGCTGGAACTAACTTTCAAATTCAATTGGAGCTTGTTGATATATATATTTTGTTTGTTCCCTGCCAGATGCCTAGTTGGATCTCACTCACACTTTGTTAGGTCTTGGTTTGTCCTTGCAGTTCTTATTTTTCAGTACTAGATTGATGTGTACTGAACATGACATTCAGATGCGTGTTCCTATTTTTGACTTCATAAAACAGACTGCAGACAACCAATGTTACTACTCCTGTAGGCATTATCTTGGAAAGAGAGCACTTGTGCGCACACACGTGTACACATACATGGAGCCTAACTTTTCTCTCTGTTTTGTATAAGGTGGAATTGCTCTCAGGTGAGGTAAAAATAACGGCAATATTGACTGGTCCTACAGAAATAGATCACATAGTAAAAATGAGCTTAGATATTGTTATTTATAGCTAGTGGTCTTGGAACAGAAAGTCAAGAGAAAAATCTTTTACATAAATCAAACTCTTCATTTCAGACTGCCGGTAGGAGATTCTATGATTAAATGTTTTCATCAAATAAGAAAAGCCCTGTGTATAGAAAAATAGCATGAGGTAGTGCCACCCTAATGTATTATCAAGTGGAGGGGGGCTTCAGTCCTATGACATTCTCCACCGCTGTCACACATGAATTAGCTGCTTGTGTAGACTGGCCTTGAAAGACAATGCAGAAGCTTTGATTAATTTGTCCTTACCACCTCACTCAAAGTGTACTTTGCCATGACCTGCTGAAATGTAATTCTCTAAGGAAGGGAAGGTTTAGATCTCAAACAGAGTCTTGTTGCTATGGGCAAGCTAAGCTCCAGTGAGCCACTGGAAGTCACTGTCATTTATATAGTACAGCATACAATGTGTTATATTGCTGTATTATTCAAAATGAGTGCTGGGTTACCAATACCTTTTATACATATTGTGGGTTAACTGATATTTCTTATAAAATGATATATATTTTTTATTTCCAGCGATAAGAAGCTTCTGGCGGAAGGTGCTGGTGAGACAATACCGGCTGCTGAAGAAGAGGCTTCTCGTGTGGCCCTCCGGAAACTTTATGAGTTTACTGAGAATAGGAAACCCTGGGACTATTCTTCTCCAAAGTGGGAGCGGAGAGCAGAAAAGTTCCTTAGCAGCAATTAGGCAGAAAAATTTGTTTCTACTTTGTGTACAAACCTTGTTCCAAATGATGATGCTTTTCGAGAAGCTTTATTTGTCTGGGTTTTGAAACCACCCAGATTTCCTTCAACAGGAAATAAAACTGGGGCAGCAAAAAGTCTTCTGTTGAAAAATAAAGAACTTTGGAGAGTGATCATTTTGACAAATAGCATTGTAGTTTTTAGTGGGATGCATAGCCCTTACCCAGGAAGCTTGACCCTCAGAAATATGTGATGAAAGAGCTGTTATCTGTGAACATTGTAAAAAATTAAGCAACTAAAAATATGAAAAATAATCATTCTCAAGTTTTGCACAGTATGCTAGAGTATTAGCTGTATTGAAACCTGAGTTGCAAAATCATATGGTAACAAGATGGAAAGCTATGATGTAAAACTTTCGTCTAATTTAAGGCAATACAGTGTTTCATATCCCACTGTGGAATAAAGTTAATTTATAGCTATGTGTTTCTGTTCTTTGAAGAGCACAAAAACACACTATTACATTGGCACCTAATTTACAAGTACTGTGGCAAATTGACCTGTACAGCTGAAAGTCCACAGGCCAGTTACACTCATCTCCTTGGCTGTTTGTGGACCCTTCCATTTCTTCATGGGAGCAACTAAATCCCACCAAATCCCTTCAGAAGTGAGGGTGAGGATGGGAGAATATCTGCTTCACTACATCTGCTCTGCTTCTCCTGTCCATGATTTAGGAGCTTGCTGGCCCTAATAAAAAAGAAGAGGAGGAGACTGGATTTATACCCCGCCCTTCACTACCCAAAGGTGTCTCAGAGCGGCTTACAAACTCCTTTCCCTTCCCCTCCCCACAACAGACACCCTATGAGGAAGGTGGGGCGTGGGGCTGAGAGAGCTCTTGACAGAAACTGCTATTTTTCAAGAACAGCTGTGCCAGAACTATGGCTTGCCCAAGGTCATCCAGCCAGGGGCAAATGGAGGAGTGGGGAATCAAACCCGGTTCTCTAAGATTAGAGTCCGTGCACTTAACCACTACACTAAATGACAAGAGTTAGTGCCAGTCTTTCCATCCTGGGTCACGCTGGCAGGTAGCCATTCTTTATAGCCCACCTGCCTCTCACATTCCCTCATGCTGCATTTAACCACAACAGAGGGAAAATGTGTACATGACTGGTGTGAAAAGAAGAGGGAGGAGTGAGGCGTGTACTCCAGTCTACCAACTAGTCCACTTCATGCAAATTTTCCCTTAACCATGGTGTTTAAATATGACATTCAAGCATAGTCTCAGTATGTTAACTGTTGGGAAAATGGAAAGACTGGAGATTGCTTGCTGTTAAATACACAAGGAAGGTGGGAGAAAAGAACACGGGGGGGACTTGTGAGAAAGGTTGACTAGGTAATAGGTGGAACAGAGATTTCTGTGACTGAGGAAGAGGGATAACAGGCTTTGTAGATGGAGAAGGAGAACAAGGGGACTGCAGACCTATGATGCAGAGGATAAACTATAGGGTGGCAGAAGAGGGAGGATTAATAGACAAAATCAGAGACCTGTGAAGGTGCAGAGATGGTGCTATGGAACAGATGGGAAAGAAGAGCTGAAAAAAGATACGTTGGGTTAAATTGTTTCACTCTGGTACATTTTAAAAATCATTGTAGCCTTCCTTAAGTCCTTTTTTAGGAAAAAGCTGACTAAAAATATTTCAGGAAATTTTGGTGCAATCCCTAATTGCATGCATGCAACCAGCTAGAATACATGAGTGGAAGCCTGCTTCATTGAGCTTGTGGCACACTGACTATGTAGGTTTCGTTGTTTAGGCCAAACATGGCAGCTACACTTCAGGCTAAACTTATCAGATATACATGTCTGGCTGAAGTGCTGTCTTACCATAAAGCCATCAGGGCATCTGTTAACAGGTATGATTATATAATCTGACTAACTGCAAATCGTAACTCGAAAAATTTACCCTGTTGTTTTCTAGGTTCCCATTTAACTAGGAATGGAAACAAGCAAAGAGATCAGCTTTTAATACATTTATGTGCCAAGAATCAATATAATCCATTATTGTTATCCTTGGAGCCAGCCACTTCTATTGTTTCTGAAACCCATTATGAAAGAAATCAAAATGTCTGCTTCAATCATCTGGCATGTTAGCATTAATGAGTAAAAGACTAGATCTCGCCAAGCCTTCTCGCCGATTTCCTCGCAGGGGATCACTCTTAGGAATCGAATCACTAAGTAAAAGACCACTCTAAAGATGTTAACCTTTACATTGTTTGAAAAAAAATAATATAAAGCTGTGATTCGTGGTGCTGGTATATGTGTGGATTTCAGCTGTCAGTTTAATGAGAAATAGCAGGCTTGCATTTATTTGGACTCTGTCCACATTTATTTATTAAAATAATTACCCTAGTTTCCCATGTCTTACTGGATCCACAAGGCTCCTTAACAAATTTTAAACACCACATAAAATAATTTAAATACCTAAAACAGAGCAGCTATTTAAAAAAAACTATGATTTCAAATATGAACTAGAAATTCTCAGTAGCATTTCATATACTACAAAAGCCCCCTGAAACAGAATTTTTAAGCAGTGCTGGAACACTGACCACATGGGGTAATGTGAACCTCCCTGGACAGAGAGCTGTGCAGTCTTGGTGCTACTAAAGAGGTGTTATCCTTGTTCACAAAAACACCATACTTCAGGTGACATGGGAATATGAGGAAAGACCCCCAACAGTAACTAAAATGTCCAGGCAATTTTGTACAGGAGACGGTGGTACGTTTTAATAGTATACCTGCAAGACAGTACACATACCTAGATGGTAGACTAAAACTGAGATTATGCTATCTCTCCTTTATATACTGTTTTGGTCATGGACTCTCCTGAACATTCCACATGCTCCCAAATCAGTTATCTCCCTGATCTGTCACTCAGAAGCTGTCCCTATCCACTGGCTGCATTCCCTGAGTCTCACCTCCAATATTCTAAACAGTTTGCTGTTTCTCTCCCCCCCAATAGCCAGTTGGAACACAGAGGTCATTTACATATGCCGCCTGATTGGCCTTTGCCTCTAACATTCAAAACAGTTTGTTGTTGCGAGTCACTGAATGTGTCCTAAGGTAAAATACATGTCCCAATTTTCCCTCAAACGGTCACTGGAGTTGCAAAAATACATATCCCAATCTTCCCTTAAATGGTCACTGGAGTTGCCAGTCTCCCTGTGGGGCCTGGAGATCTCCCAGAAATCACTCTGTTCCCCAGCCACTGCACATCATTTCCCCTACAGAAAATTTCCCAGCTATTACAATGGCTGCTTTGAGCAGTAGACTCTATGGCATTATACACTACTGAAGCCCCTCCGCACCCCAAACCCTGCCCTCCCCAGGCTCTACCCCTCAAATCTACAGGTCTGGCCCTCCCCTTAGTACTGCCAGCCTCCAGGCAGCACCTGGAGATCTCCAAGATCAGTTCTCCTGGAGAAAATGGCTGCTTTGGGCAATGGACTCTATGGAATTATACCCTGCTGAGGTCCCTCTGCACCCCAAACCCTGCCCTCCCCAACCAGAGTTGGCAAACCTGTAACTGGCTACGGAACCCCTTTCCAGACCCTTGGAACCCAGAAGACATGGCACATGAGGAGGTGCTTTTCTACCTTAGCTGCCACTGCATAACCCCAAATCAACATAAGTCAGGGGTGGAGGGAACCATACCTGTCACCATGAGGCTGTCCTCCCATACTACCCATTTGGGGTAGCAAAATGACTTGAGACAGCCCTGCCTTATAACTAAGCGGAAGGAAATAAACATGGCTTGCCTCCCTCAATTTTCCCCTTCCCTCTTCCGCCCCACCAGCCACAGTCAGGACACTCACCTGGATCTTCCTTCTAGAGCTTGTTGTATTTCTTCCCACAACGGGCCTTACTCCTAGTCTGTAATATTACCCATTGTATTCAGGTTTGTTCAAGCCCTGGTTCAAGGGCTACATTCCACTTCCTGGGCCATCCTGGGTTGTAACATTATTACCGCGTAAGGCTCCACCTAATTTCAATCAAAGTATCCTCTTGGTGTTTATGTAAGCAAGATCTAGCCTGCAGTACTGCTCTGGAAAAAAAATAACAGTTCTTTAGGAATGATCAGGTGTTTTGCAATAATACATATTTCAGTGTTGTGCATATAAGAGGTATTTTTCCTCCCTCTCTCAGACACAGGTTTAAACATGAAAATGAGAACTGATCCTGGCTTTCAAAAAACATTAAAACAAAACCCAAACTGCTAATGTCCAACCATGCTTTTATCCCCATTTTTTATTATGGTTGTGACATTACAGGCCCATGAATTAGCTTCTTAAAGTGGAAGTGAATGTTAAAGGCTGTTGCTTTCAACTCACTGAAATGAACAAAAATAATCTCCCATGAGAAAATAATAGAGGAAAGAATGATGTTAAACCTTTGTGAATTAAAATGCCATTTGTATAGCCAAGCTTTCAGAAAACTACAGGGAGTAGCCATTTTTGTGCAACCCTATGCAGAGATACTCTAGCCTGTATTCATTGATTTCCATGAACTCTGCATAGGATTGTACTACTTAAAAGGAACGATTCAAGCCACTAAAGTTAGGCTACAAGATGGTCAATGCCCTCCTAAGCATAGTTACACCTTTCTAAGACTACTTAGGAGGGTGCAGCTCTGCACTGGATGACAACAGATGTCACATAATGTATAGACTATTAGCTGGTAGTCCCCAGTTTTGATCCCATCCCCAAACTCCCTAACTGGCTTTAGACAACTTGTTGGGGTTTTTTTTAGCCTCTAATGGATTTTTAATACAAAGTTAATAATACTGGCATACTTTACAGTAAAATCATTACAGAGATTACATGCATGGCTCAGAAAAATATTAGAAATGTCCATTAAATAAGTATTAAGTTTGGACTTTGTATTATATGGACAAAAATGAAAATACACTGAAACTATGTTGTGATGTCACCTAATCATACATATGGTAATCAAATACACAAACAAACAAATAAATATGCTTAGAGTAGTTGTTGGATGTGTGTAATCAGAAACCTTCAATATGTGAAAATTCAGAGCAATGTATATTTTGCACACATTCTTTAAAATCATAGAATCTTAGAGCTGGAAGGGATCTCCAGGGTCATCTAGTCCAACCCCCTGCACAATGCAGGAAATTCAAATACTTCCCCTCCACACACCCCAGTGACCCCTGCTCTATGCCCAGAAGGGGGGGGGACCAAAACCCTCCAGGATCCCTGACCAAATTGGCCTGGGGAAAATTGCTTCCTGATCCCAAAGTGGCGACCAGCATTTCCCTGGGCATGTAAGAAAGGGCCATGAGAACTAAGCACTGATGCAGCCCTTCCTGCCCTCCCTCTCATGATCTGCCTAAGTTCACAGAATAAGCTGTCAGATGGCCATCTAGTCTCTGCTTGAAAACCTCAAAAGGAGAGCCCACCACCTCATGATTAATTATCTTAAGGATGGTAACTTTGTATTCTCAAAGTCCAGCCTGTTCTCCAGATAACAAACCATGTATATCAGGGAGGGGCTGTAGCTCAGGAAGAGCCTCTGCTTTGCATGCAGAAGGTCCCTGGTTCAATCCCCAGCATCTCCTGTTAAAAGGACTAGGCAATAGGTGATGTGAAGACCTTTGTCTGAGATCCTGGAGAGCCACTGCCAGAGCATACTATACTGACCTTGGTGGATCAATGGTCTAATTCAGTATAAGGCAGATTCATATGTGTTAATATTTGGGAGGAAGATACAGCTTGACAAAATATATGCATATACTATATGCCATAGCTTCATTAAAATTAGAGACATATGAGTTTAAGTAGGAGTTGAGGATGGGGGCACAGTGCTGGCTTCAGCCAGAGCAATCTGCATTTATTCCCAGTTTACTGGGATACCAGTTTACTGATAATTTACTGGGTACCCTTGGGTAAGCCACTTTCAGACTCAATCCCCCAGCTTGCAAAATTGGGATATTAATGAACTATCTCTTAGTGCATAGATGATGAATTAATGAATCCAGAATGAAATGGTGGGACAGACTTTAGGTGTACCAGTGTGGTCAGGGATTCCAGCTTGTGCACAACAGTTGCTTGCTTCTTTGCATGTGACTGAGGGACAATTCACATGTTACAAAGTCCATGCGGTAGGTGTGGACTGTGTCAACAGATGGGCACCTGGAGTTCTGAGCTGGGAACTCCAGCAGCACATTTAATCTAAAGTCTTCATGGCAGCAGTGTGTCTGCAACACAGACGTAGTAATGTATGGATTGGGCTTGAGATCTTTACAGCATACTCCAAGAACCACTGCCTCAGTGCAGTACAACACCAAATAAGGTTGTTCATTTTGATCTTATTTTAGTTAATTGATAAGGAAAACCAGCCCAAGACTAAGATCTCTTGCTTCATTGTGGTGCATGACACATGTATTTAGGATCACAGCCAAACACTAAACTATTAAATCTCATAAGAATGCAAAGCATGCATTTAGTATACACTAACTGTATTCTTGCATCTGGAGAATGTATACTGAATCCTAACAGCATAAACTGATTTTGGAACATAGTTGCCTTACTCATCCAACTAGCATGTCTTAGAAAAAAGCTGCAGAAATATCAATTGCTTAGCAACATAGGTACAGTGCATTCCAGACATCTCAGACTCCTAGCAATGTAATATGTGGTGGATTAGGTAATTTTCATTGGCAATCAGAGAATGGGAATGTCTGAATTCCCTGTCTGTCAGTGAAAATAATTAATTGTGAGAAGGGTCAAGATTGTTATGAGGTACAAGGGCTGAGCTCTGGGCCATGTTACATACTAATAAAAATGTATCTGAGCCTACAGTGGTTTTTCCCCTCACTATTTAAGAACCATAGCCAACTTTCTCAAATCTGGGGATAAGAGTAATAGGGATATAAACCAGGGGTGGCCAAACTTGCTTGATGTAAGAGCCACATAGAATAGTCAGATGTTAGAGAGCCACAAGACATGAACAAATATTACACGTTTTTACTGGTAAGTATGCAAATTTGATTTTTATTAACATTAAATGAGACTGCCAAAAATAATAACAAAAGTGGTAAAAGCAGATATTGATAATGACATTTATTTGTCCAATGATACTTTTTTGCTAATGATATTTAGCTTCCTCAGCCACCCTGCCGGGAACTGCACAATATGTGTGAAAGAGCTGCATGCAGCTCCTGAGCCACAGTTTGGCCACCCCTGATATAAACCCTGTCAGCTTCCTGTTTTAAGAAATTATACATTGCTCCCTGTTCCAAATGCAAATATCTAGCTACTGCACAAATTCCTTTTCAGGATTCATTATGTCAAGGATGGTAACTTTGTATTCTCAAAGTCCAGTCTGTTCTCCAGATAATAAACAACCCAGTGGCTTGGAAATGTATTTAGGCCCACAATTCACAATCCTCAGAACTGACCACGGTCTATAATAAAGGTGGAACCGCACAGCAATAATGGCTTCATAATTATGGGTCGCAGGAAGTATGTGGTCAGAATTTGTGGGAGGGAGAAACAAATGTGAGCCTGTTATAAACCAGATTGGTGGCGGTCATATGATGCTGCCTTATACTGAGTCAGACTGTTGGTCCATCTAATTTGCTTTGACTGGCAGCAGTTCTCCAAGGTCTCAGAGAAAGAGGGAGAGGGTCTTTCTCAACAGCTGCTCCTGAGAGGTTGGGAACTGAATCCAAGACTGCCAGAATTTAAAGCAGATTCTCACAGCCCCTCCCCACCCCCAGGTCCTTTAACTTTCCAGAACATGCACAATAGATGACCAACCGTGTAATCTACCTAGTACATTTTCATATTGCCCTTATTCCAAGTAGCTTAGGGTGGTTATCACTTTCCCCATTTTATCTCCACAACTCTGTGAGGTAGGTTAGGCCGAGATAACATGATTAGGTCACTCAGCAAGCTTCATGACAGTGTGGAAGTTTCAATCTGGATCTCAGCTCCTAGTCCAACATTGTAAAACTGTGGTCTCCAGTTTGGTGCCTGTGGATAACTGTGGTGCCCAGCAATGTGTTTGCTAGTACCCTCTTGTTTCTTTCCCACATCATCTATTCCCCAAAGTGAAGAGCAACTGCCTGCTTTCTTCCACTTCACTGGAGTAAGAGGTGCTTCCAAAGAGTACAGGGGGCATTGCCTTTGGGGTTTCAGGGAACACCCAGTTAGCAACAGTTGCCTCCCTTGTAGGAGTATCTCAGGCTTGGAACCTCCTGACATTTTGTGGAACCTGTTAAGTTATTGGACCAAGTCCCAAGGGAGCAATTTTGTGATTGGTCTGACCCACCTCCAAGGTAGTCATTTTGATGTGCTATCCACTGCTACTTCTTAAAATTCCTGAAGTGCCTGTAGGTCCAATAAAGGTTTTTTTTGAAAGGGGTGTGTGTCCTTGTGGCCTTTAATAATATATTCCATTTATACCCCACTTCTCTCCCCACTGGGGATTGAAAGTGGCTTACAACAGCCTCCCCTTCATTTTATCCTATTAGGTAGGTTAGGCTGCGATTGGCCCAGGGACACCCAGCAAGAGTGGGTATCTGATCCTGACCTCCCAGGTCCTACATCATATCTATCTCCAATTCAATGCACTGTTAAGTGTGCTCAAGCCCATCACAGTCAACGGCCTGAACTGTGTTTAACTGGATATCAGACAGCGGCCACAAGACACCCTATTGCTTCTCTGAGTGTCCGTTTCCGTTGGATTATATTCAGGTGTCATTTCCTGCAGGAGCGCACAGGAGTGGAGCTCCGGCAGTAAAGAGCCAAGAGCACATGAAACAAGCCCCACCCCCTGCTCCCAGCAGCCCTCAGTCAGAGCAAGAAGCAGCCAGGTAAGCTGCAGAGCCCCCCCCCCACAGCATTCAGGCACAAGCTCTCCCTCCTCTGTGAGGACAGATCTGCAGGTCCCCCCCCCAATAGCTAGCAATCCAAAACAGTCCAGTGGAGCCTGAGCAGTGGGTGTTGCCTTCTGACACACTTCCGATGATGTCAGGGGTGTGTGGCATATGCAAATAAGCTATGCTAATGAGCTCCTGCACCTCTTTTTCTACCAAATGACCCCTGATTATATTCCATGCTAAAAGAGAGATTCAAGTGTGGTGGCTTCTCCGGTTGCTTCCCAGAAAACTTTAGAAACGCATTTTCTTTGCCTTACAAATGAAGCAGGGCAGAACTTCCAACCACGTCTCCATTGAAATCCGGTAGGACCACAATGGGAGCGCGTGCGGGGAGAAAAAGGGCCAAGGCTGCTTCGGGAGCCAAACCCACTTGACCACCCCGGGGGGGG